GTAGAGTTTGTCAAAGAAATCAACTTATTTCTAAACAAAACAAAGCAAAACAAAAATCTTTAGAATTAAAGGTCAATAATGGATTTTACCAACTCGTTGGAACACTCTGTATAGTATACGAATAAAATAAAAAATGTTTTTTTTTGTAAAAGTGATAGACGTATTAGAGATTGGAGTAGTAAAGTTTCAAAATATCTTTCACGTAACAGCAGTATTGCTTTTATTTTATTGCAAGACAATTTTATTTACAATTTATTACATCCCAGTGAGATTACTACTAATTGCCACAAACATGCGAAAATTAAAATGTTCTAATTTTCAGTTTTTTAAAAAATTCTTCATGGAAAGTTTACTAATTGTGAACATACCTTGGCATAGAGTTAACAGAATTAATTATTTCTTTTATGTAACTGCATTGTGTTTTAGGAGCGAAAGTGACTCCTTCCGAAAAAGCAGTCGGCATTGTTGTAATTTGGTTGCTTGTCTGTGACAAGCCTGAAAAAGTGTAATGTGCTGAAAACATGATTGATTGTAATGTTACATCGTATCGTTGTTTCCATCTGTCATAATATGCGCTATCTTGATCGAGCGCAATTATTAATGATGAAGAGTAAAAGTGCGAAACAAAGCTTGGTTGCAGTTCGATTTACATAAGTAATTGGACACCTCGATGGGTAAAAGGCCAGCGACCAGTGATGGAAGCTTATGACGAGATTGTAGACTGATATAAGGGTTCGGTTTCGGATTGCTTTCTTTGCTATCGATTTGATTGTTATCGATAGGCATTTGCATTGGTAATTGGGAAGTGAATTGAGCACTTTCCAAGCAATGAACGAAAGTTATGCTCAGCATTGTTAAAAACGATGATGAATCGCTATTTCCGGCACAAATTTCAACCCGGAATGCTGAAACATTTCAGATCAAAAAGTAAACGTAAATTTTTTTTTTAAATTTTTTCCACGTTTCTAGTACCGTGCAAAAAAAATTATAAATTAGAGTAGGCGGTGATTAAAGTCCTTCAGATGGCAATCCTGATTTTTGGAAAGTTTGACAAGTTTGCGTTTTATTAATTTTGAGTGAGAAATATGTTGACTTTAAAGCAGAAAATTTTTATTGTTGCAAGTTATTACAAAAATGCTGTACAAGACGAAAACGGTGAATGGTCATTTCCACTTTCAGTTTGTATGGAAAATTTCCAGCCAACGTGTTGCCAACTGTAGAGTATTAATCGTCGCCTACTCTTTTTTTTTGATCGCACGGTATTTTATTATCTTGGAATTTTACTCTGGCGAGCGAGTTTTGAAACACTCTGTATAACTAAAAAGACAAATCTTTAATCATCATGTATGGTATTTTTATGCAAATTATCTTTAAAAAAAAGCTTTTTTGAAATTGAAAGTTAAACTTGAAAATAGTAAATACTTATTAAAAAATATACAGGCTGTTTTCTTAATATTGCGAATAATTGCAACCACACAGGGCCGTACCCAAGGGGGGGGACTAAGGGGTTCAAACCCCCCTCGAAATGCTGAGCACTTTGTTATATAGTGTTATAAGTGTTAAAAATTTAGTTTTTTTTTGTTATTTAAATGAGTTAATTTTAAATTTTTGTGAATTAATTTTTCAAGTGTTAATTATACAGTGTTTCATTTTTATTATTAGATACAAATTTAAATACTTGATAGAATATTTAATTTTAAGATAAAAGTGTTTTCAAAATTGCTATGAAAAGGAGCTACACCCCCTAAAAAGGTACGTTTTTTAAAGGGTTTTTCCTAATATTTCAGAATAGATAAAATTACAAAATTTGGTACCTTTATATGTACACCTAAACAAATGCCAAATAACAAAGTTTTTAATCAGGTGCGTCCTAAACGATAAAACAAATTTAATTTTTAATTTTTATGCTCTTTATGGTCTGAAACATAATTTTTTAAACCGATTTTTACTAAAAATCCGTAATTTGTATCGGAAAAACACAAAAGATTTTTTTTTATGAAAAACTATAAAATTTTGTTGCTGAAAGTGGCAAGAAACCACAGGCAAAATAGTTACAATAAATTTTTACCCTAATCCCATCTAGTTTAGGAAGCCCCTAATTAAAAATTTCAACATTTTATTTTTGTACTTGTTTAGGTGTATAAAAGTTATCATCTGTAGCAAATTTTGAAATTTTTTTCTAAAATAATTTCGGAAATATTGAAAAAAAAAACTATTAAAAGACGCATCCCTTGCGTAGCATTTTTCGATATACGAGTATGTTCATAGAAAATTTTTGTTTTAAAAATGAATATTCATCTCCTGTTTAAATTTGTAACAATAAAAAGCATTAAAAATTGATTTTATTTTTTGTTACTTTTGTGAGTTAATTTATATTTTTTTTATGTTTAATTAGGATCTCTTATTTCAATTTAAAATAAAAACGTGTACTTAGAGATTTCTGCTTTTTAATCCGTCTTCTTTCATTTCATTTTCATGGTCCAACAAGAAAGTTACAAACAACATGAAAAACGCAATTTTCCTAAAAGTTTAAATCCTAGGTGGTAATTTCTTGTTGACAAATCTGTATGAGAGATTAAATTTTGTACTTTGGCTCTATTTACTTCTGTTGGAAAAATAATTTTCCAAGTTTTTTTGCAAGAGGCTATTAGAAGAGGAAACAGCAGCTGTATCCTAAATTGTAACACTTTTCAATGTTATTTGTGTTATTTGTACCTTTACTATATAATTACAAAAAAACCTATACAAGATCATCAATATCATTAAATATACATAAAAAATGTGAAATGTCAAAAAATTAATCTCAATATTTTTTGAAAGATGGAATTAAAAAAAAATTTAAACCTCTTCCTGGTACAGAAAAAGCTAAAACTATAATCTAGATTTGTTGCCAGATAAGTCTTTTTAAGTAAATGAGGAAAGGTTTTGTTACTTTCCCCTTCTAGTGGAAAAATGGTACATTTTAAATGTTTTAATAATTAATGATTCAGCAATGTCCCCGGAGCGAAGCAGCGTGAAAAATGCGGGTAATTATTTCATCACATCTAACATTTATATTATTCAAATGAATGAAACTGTTGATTGTTGAATAAAATCATCAACGTGTTTAATTGCTTTTTTATCGCCCGTTTGCGCAACAATTTCCCCAATATTGTTTACTTTCTCTCATTTATCCTAATATTCTCGCCTTGCAATTCGGCAACGCCCATATATAAATACCATCATGGTCAAAACAAAAGTTTACTGTATTAATTTTCGTTTCATAACACTTGTTCGACTGGAATTTTTCCTAACATGGTAAAGCCGATGTAATCTTCACATTGGGCAATTTTACCACAATTATGCCTTTTTCGGAAATGACTCTTCTAATGCTCCACAAACATCCTTTCCCAATTCCATCTTATCAAAAATAAAAATAGTAGAATTTTTTCCGTTCACATAATTAAGTCATAAACCGATTAAAAACGCGATATTTCGGCACAAAGAACTTTCTTCGCGCTTTTTTCAGCCACTCGTGACGAAACTGCACACTTTTAGTCGGAATCTCTATGCATATTATCTCCATGCATCCATTCTAGGATCTAATTGCCGTTATTTTGTAACACATATTATTACATTGAAATTATCGCAATGCAACACTGCTGAATGCAAGTTCCTTATTGCTCTTTTTAATTGTTTATGTAACGATCAGAGATTGAATTTCAAGCGAAGGGGGTGACAAAGCGTCCTTTTTCCATCGGTTTATTACTGAAAACAACTTGGTTTTTTCTTGAACGATTTGTCAATTTAAATGGCACTGAACCAGTGTGGACGACATTGGAATGAAAGAGTTATTGGACTCATTTCAGAAATGTCGCATTAAGGCAAATGCGGTTTTAAATCAGTGGGCGATATGGAAATGGGACTGATATGGGCTTGTAAATGGAGAGTTGAAACGGTTTGTAATTTGATAATGGTGGTCTTAATTTTTTAAGTGTTTTTAGGTGTCAACGCGAAACCACAACTATTTTGTAATCACTGAAAAAAAATTGTTTATTTAGCCAAAAATTTTAAAAAAGTCCAACGAGATCTTCAAATATAATAAGAACTCATTTTTTAGTTTCAAAAAAAAATCTAGTTTCTTATCACGTTAACGACTAATTTCTAAAGTTTCCTATCGTCCAAAGCATCCGCAAATAGTCATAAAAATTTTATTTCATTTTGACGATCCCAAACGACATAAAAATTTCACTCTCCCAAAATACCAATTTTAAAATAAATTAAACCATAAATTACATCAGACCTAAATTATTTCCTGTACTTACTTTTCTAGTACCAGATAAAAAAAAATATAATAATTAAGACTGAAAAACTATAAGTCTAAGGTCTAAACGGTTTACTTAGTCGGATCCTATAGATGACTTTATCTGCGTTTTCCGGAGCGCTCCGGGTAATTTCCGGGTGAAAAACGATATATAAATTAAGACTTATGTTTCCTATATTATCTGCAATTTTCTCCATAATGATGATCATATTTTATTAAGTGCTTTCCCACTAGAAGCAACTCTGGGTTTTCACTATTCAATAAATAATTAAACACAAATTGTTATATTTTTTTTATCTGTTATAGTTTCCGAAAAAAACCCTTTGAAATTTTGGTTTTGCAAAAATCAATTTCAGTAAAACTTAAAATTATCAAAAAAGTTACGTAAAAAAAATCAAAATTGCATAAGTAAGTTTCAAATCAATTAATCATCTTATGCGTGTAGTTTACAATATTTATGCAAATTTCTACAATTTTTTAATTTTTATCTTAACTCTTAAAATTTCCGAAAAGAAAGGTAAAATAGCATGGGCTTTAAATAGTAAAAAAATATTGGAATAAGCGAAATTAAAAATTCTGAAAAAAGTTTAAAAAATTATTTTCATGAACCTCATGACAGTAAGCTATCTCATATAGAATTTAAGTTGTTTACGACATTTTTAGGTGTGCAATAATGAAATGAAATAAAACTCCCAGAAAAACTAAATAAATTTATTAAAATATTTACATATTTGGTATCATACAATTATGACACATAAATTCCTCGACTTAATAAAATTTCCTTAAAATTTTCTTGGCACTTATTCACATTTCACTGTCCCTTGATTTTGTAGAAATACTTTTCATCCTTGCGATCATAAACGGAATTTTCCTGCTCTTCATCCTGCCTCGGCTCGACGTAAGCAATCTGAGGCACATAGTACCTCACTCCTGCTGAATAAACCACCCCAATTTCAGGCACGGTTTTTTCTTTTTGATAAAAATGAGGCTTGATGTACCTCACGGGCACCCTCCTCTCCAACTCGTACTGTTGTCTGTCGAAAACATGGGGCCCGGTGTACTCCACCCCCCTATTTTGCTGTTTCCTGTAAACATCAAATTTCTCCACAACGGGGTTGTATTTCTGGTCGATGGGGGTGCCGAGGATGAGACTCGGGGGCGGCCTTTGTGCGTAAATCTTGCGGCGGTACTGGTGGGGCACCAGCGGCCGGTAGACGTGGGGGTTGGGGACGTCCTCCGTGTCCTCTACCACGGGGGCGGGACTGCGGGCGACGGCGGCCCGAGGAGCCGGCTTTGGGGTCGGCTCCGGGGGCTCGATGGGGCCTTGGTGCGTCCCGAAGGTGACCAGGATGGGCTTGGCCGTGGCCAAGGTCATCACAGCCAGCAGGAAAATCTGCAGGAAATAACAAAACGAATTAGTTTTCGAAAGCGGCTTCTTCACAATAAAGCGCGACGAGGAATATTAATTTTCCGGCGTTTGTTGGCGATCACAATGCTAGTGAAAGTGGTGTTTAATTAAATATTTTCAAAGAAAATGCCATTTTACCAGCCGAAATCGGGGACGTCTGTGCCCCATGGCGGGCGTAAATAAACAAAGATTTCTCCCTGCTGTCGACATCGTCATTGAATTATTACCCAGGTGACGAGAAACTGAGACAAGGAGAGGCAAGGTTCCGGACGGACGAGTTGCATTCATTGAAAAAATTTTATCACAATGAAAAAAATTACCAATACAACAAGCATTGCAAATTTTGCGGAAATACGCAAAAAATTACATAAAACCTGGCTAATCATCTGAAAATTGTGAATTTGTGATTTTTTAAATTTATTGTTCTGATTCCTTCAAAATTTAGAGTATTTCGTAGCTTTACGACTTGACTATTTATAATCGGAAGATTCAACTCTTTTCAGGCCAAAAAATAAACTTAAAAACCGAAATTATAACTTTTTACACTCAGAGTTCCATTTATTCTCGTTTGTCATTATTAATAGTATATTATGTTATTACGAGTAAATTCATCTAAGCCATTTTATTCACTTTTATTCCAAATCACATATGCTATTTTATCTGAAACGAAAGTATAATAATTAGCAAGTAAATGAACAAAATAATCAGGATGCTTCGCAAGTAATGAAATCACAAAAACGCTTATAAACAAACATCACACATCAATATCGGATTTTGTGTTGAAAATATCAAAATCGTTTATTAATTAATTTAACTAGTGCAGTTAGTAGTGCCAAAGGTCAAATGTTGATAATCTACAGCAAAAGAAACAACATTGGTAAATGTTAATAATGCCATGATAGGCACAAAAATAGAATTTTTACTCCATGACTGAAAGGTAAAACTTTTATTTAGCTATGAAAGTGGCCACTTTGGGGATAAAAATTATTACAATACATAATGAATAATTGCGTTTCGGCAAATTTGAGCACGATTTTTATAAATTTAGTAACAATATCTAGAAACTGGAAACACATTATACTTACTACCAAACAAAAAAAAATCAGAATACTAGAAATGTTAAGTCAGTAAATAAAAAATTACAAAAAATACACATAACACATAGAATCTGTCCCAAAGAGGTAGACAGTGGTTTTCCGGTTATTTACTCCTCAGAAGATCAAAATACAAAAAAAAATGTACTTACACATACTATAAAAAAAATCAAACATTCGCAATAAAAAATTACAGCAGATATAAAAACTTTTAAAATATGTTCGAGTTGCAATGAATAGTGGTAGAAACTGAGCACCAAGTTAATCAAAATTTCGACAAACTGAGCACCACCTTAATCAACATTTTGAACACAATTTTGATATTTATTTAGTGGACAAAAGTGGATGATTTTTACGCAAATTTTCTCAACTCAACAGTAGGAAACAAATACTACCTATTTCAAACAAAAAAATCAGAAAAAATAAAACTGAAGAGTACAAAAAAATTGAGTGTGCGACAATGAATGAAAGTATAAAGTCTATCCCAGATTGCAGAGAATAGTTTGCAACTGAACACCAAATAACAATTAAATCGTGTTATCCATCAATGAATTCCATAACAATTTTCTGTCTCAGCAACTTGAAACAAGTATTACGTATGCAAAAATTAAAAAATAAGATATTGAAAAAATCATTAACATAATTGTAAGCCAGTTTTTTAATTTCTTTTATTTCTATTCACAATTATAGTGACTTCACTGAATATTTAGCAATAAATTGAAAATCTTCTATAATTTTTTAATCAAAAAGAGCAAATAAATGTAAAAATTATGTTTTTTTAAATTTTTTAATTCATGATAAACAAGATATTGTGTTTGCAATTTTTCAAATGTAAAACCGCAAACATGTTTGTCGCTTTTTTGCTCGTAATTAGATAAGAGAGTATCACAGGATATCATAAATACGGAAACAGCTGAATATTTTTAGCATATCAATTTTTTATCCCAACTTTCGATTTCTTCATCTAAATCTCTCGCTGATGGCATAACCTTGCTCGCCTCTGCACTATCAATTGCATTCCTCGCAACCGAAAACCTCACTTTTTTCAACCACAATTCACTCGTGCACTTTTCCTCCCCTAATTACCGTGTTGGTAGCTGCAGCCATCGTTGATATCACTCGTCAAGTTCGCGTCGCGACTCCACTCAGACGGTGCACATAATCACTTTATACTAGTTTAGAAAAATGCGTGTGCATCGCTGAGAGCTACCAAATAAACTAAGAGCGCTCGGATCGCCGCTGCTTCATTATTTCACAACGAGGATCGTTTGTTGTGGGGCCCGCCTCCTCCGGGGGCCAATGCAGCGATGCATACGCACGGAGGAATTTTACAGCGACAAAAAAATGGAAAAATCTGAGACGGGCCTTTCATTTGTTGGATAATAACGGAGTTTTTCACGCTGATGTAATTATGTGTCTGGTAACGGAACCAGAGCATTTCCATACGAATTCCGAAAGACTAGATAAAAAGTTTCAGTGTTAGCAACAGAAAATCTAAATATTTGGAAAAAACCTTTTTCTACCCTTGACGAGTTGCTCATGTCGAAAATTCGCATGGTTGCTATAGAAGAAATACTTAAATGTATACGTAACTATGGTAACAAAATTTTCAAATTTTAACGTCGTCATAGTTACCATAGAAAATTCAGTTTACTGCAGGGGCGGGTAATTTTTTCATCAAATATATAAATATTTTTTACATTTTTTAAATCGTAATTGTTAAAAAAGACTAAGTTTATTTTTTTTGTTAATTCTCATCACACTACAAACATTATTTTTTTTTTTGAAAAATTAAATTTTTTTAATTTACATGTAAACAATATAGGCAACTACGACAATACACAAAACCACAAAAAAATAAATAAAAACCTTAAATA